TAGAAATGATGTTGGAGAACACATGACAGAATTCTGCAAAATTAATGATTTGTTCATTTCAAATACCTTCTTTAGACAGCATAAGAGATGACTATACACATGGACCTCACCAGATGAAATACAAAGAAATCAAATTTGACTACATCTGTGGAAAGAGACGATGAAAAAGCTCCATATCATCCATGAAAACAAGACCAGGGGCAGACTGTGGAACAGACAATCAATTACTCATATGCGAATTCAAACTGAAGGTGAAGAAAAATGGAAACAAGTCCATAAGACCAAAATATGACCTTGAATATATCCCACCTGAATTTAGGGATCATCTGAAGAACAGATTTGATGCATTAGACACTAGAGACCGAAGACCAAAAGAGTTGTGGGATGACATCAAGAACATCATACATGAAGAAAGCAAAAAGTCATTGAGAAGACAAGAAAGAAGGAAAAGGTCAAAATGGATGTCAGAAGAGACTCTGAAACTTGCTTTCCAGTGTTGAGATGCTAAAGCAAATGGAAGAAACGAGGAGGTCCAAGAGCTGAACTGAAAATTTCAAAGATCCGCTAGAGAAGATAAAGCCAAATATCACAACAAAATGTGCAAAGATTTGGAATCAGAAAGCCAAAAAGGAAAAACACGGTCAGCATTTCTCAAGCTGGGGGAACTGAAGAAAAAATTCAAGCCTCGACTTTTGTTATTGAAAGATTCTCTGGGCAAAGTGTTGAATGATGCAGAAAGCATCAAAATAAGATGGAAGAAATACACAGAGTCACTGTACCAAAAGGAAATAGTTAATGTTCAACCGTTTCAAGAGGTAGCTTATTATCTAACGCTAATGATACTGAAGGAGGAAATCCAAGGTGCATTGAGGGAATTGGCAAAGAACCAGGCACCAGGAATTGATGGAATAAAAATTGAAATCTTTCAGGAAAGTGAGGTGGCACAGGAGGCACTCACTCATCTCTGCCAAGAAATTTAGAAGACAACTATCTAGCCAACTGATTGGAAGAGATCCATATTTGTGCCCATTCCAAAGAGAGGTGACCAACGGAATGCAGAAATCATCGAACAATCTCTTTGATATCCCTTGGGAGTAAACTTTTACTAAAGGTAATACGGAAACAGCTGCAAGCATACATTGACAGAGGACTTCCAGAGGTTCAAGCCGGATTCAGAAGAGGCCATGGAACAAGGAATCTAATTGCTGATGTCAGATGGATCTTGGCTGATAGCAGAGAATATCAGAAAGATGTTTACCTGTGCTTTATTGGCTACACAAAGGCTTTCGATTGTGTGGATCATGACAAGCTGTGGACAACATTGCAAAATATGAGTATTCCGGAACAACTTAATTGTGCTCATGAGGAATCTGTACCTGGACCAAGAGGTAGTTGTTCGAACAGAACATGGGAACACTGAATGTTTTAAAAGTAAGAAAGGTGTGCGACAGGGTTGTATTCTTTCACCATACTTATTCAACCTTTGTGCTACGCAAATAATCCGAGAAGCTGGGTTCTATGAAGAAAAACGTGTCATCAGGATTGGAGGAAGACTCATTAACAACCTGCGATAGGCAGATGATACAACCTTGCTTACTGAAAGTGAAGAAGACTTAAAACATTTACTGATGAAGATCAAAGAGCACAGCCTTCGGTATGGATTACATCTCAATGTCAAGAAAACAAAAATCCTCACCACTGGACCAATAAACAATATTCTTATCAACGGAGAAACGATTGAAGTTGTCAAGGACTTCATTCTTCTTGGATCAACTATCAACACTCATGGAAGCAGAAGTCAAATCTGTTGCATTAGGCAAATCTGTTGCACAACACCTTTTTAAAGTGTTGAAAAGCAAAGATGTCAGCTTGAAGACTAAGGTACACCTGACCCAAGCCATAGTATTTTCAATAACCTCATATGCATGCAAAAGCTGGACAGTGAAGAAGGAAGACCATAGGAAAATTGATGCTTTTGAGTTACGGTGTTGGAGGACAATATTGAAAGTGCTATGGACTGCCAAAAGAACCAGTAGATCTGTTCTGGAAGAAGTGCAGCCAGAGTGCTCCTTGGAGGTCAAGATGGCCAAACTTCGTCTCTCATACTTCGGACATATTGTTAGAAGGGACCAGTCACTGGAGAAAGGTATCATGTTTGGTAAGGTGGAGGGTCAGAGAAAAAATGGAAAAAAACCCAATGAGATGGATTGGCCAAGTGGCAGCATCTACATTTCCCCCACACTCTCTCCAGGACCTTTGAATGCGATCTCATTCAGAGCAGTTGGTAGTGGTAGTCAGGCACTACCTAGTTCTCATGGTCCATTAGTCTTTCTATTTTCTTTCCTCTTCTTTTCTCCAGAAGAGAAGAGGTCAATATATGTATCTCAGATGACCGTTCCCAGTTTCTAAGACTCCAGGAATACACTTTTCTTCTTTGTTAACCTCAACACAATCCTCCCCCTGGGGTCGATTTCGTGTGAATTTAATCACATTTGTTTTCAGCTGTCTCTACTGTGGTGAGAGATCTGTGTAGTACATGCAGGATGGAATTGTCTGCAGGCGTTTCTTCCTCCTCCTCTTGCCTCCTGCCCACCCCGTCCCTCACTCATGTCCAGTGTTGGGGCCAGCTCTTCTGCAGTCTAAATCTGTTTACAGCTGGTTCCCTACATGATGGTGATCTCTTCCTCCTCCCTCAGCCATACAGGACTGCAGGGTGGTCATCTTCCTACAGTACTGACTGGGAAGAGCTCCCCTGAGGGATAGTAGCTAGTGGGGAGAAGAGAATGACATTAGAATGCAGTGAGGAGGATTCCAGTTAAAGCTCAAGATGGTAAGCTGCAAAAAATGCAGAAGTGGTCATCTGTCTTGGAATTTCTGGGCAAGTCCCAAATCCAAATAGTCTCCTCTTTGTCCTACAGGTGTTGGGGTGGGGAGGGGTAGGAAGGGCGGCACATCTAGTTGATGGTATATATTGTAGTCACTTAAATTATGTAGATGAGTTTAGAATAATAGGGGGAATATTTATACTATAAGCAAAATTAAAAACACAGTATAATATTATCTCAGTTATATAAAAACAAAAAAGCACTGCTGTGTCCCACTCCCCCTAAAAAAAACAGGCATATATAAAAGAATGGAAATAAACATATCAACTGTTAAAAATGATTTTCTTTTGAATAGCAGGACTGTGGGCCATTTTTTCCTCTCCTTTCAGTATTTTTCGTATATTTATCAAGTATTCTGTAATGAACCTCCATTAGTGTCTTCAATGGGAGAGGATAGAACTTCTAAACAAACTGTTTTTATTCTTGGCCATCCTGTCCTGAATTTTAGGTTAGAAATGCAGCCACTAGAACGGGATTCTTCTTCCTTGTTTCAACCTCTGGAAATCTTAAAAGTCAGGCAAGACCAGGTGCCAGGAAGATGTTTGGGGCATAGTTTTGCCTGGAGGCCGGGGGTGGACAATGTAGCTGCTCAGAGCCCCTTCCCACCCACAGCTGGTGATTATCCACTGCCACAGCCTCTGCCAACAGTAAGAGGGCTGAGCTGAGTGTGGTGACATTCTCCTGGTGGGGAGCAGTAACAAAAGTCTGGCTGGGATGGAGGCTGGGGCGGGGAATCTGGAGTGAGTGCCTGGGCTGATAAGGAGCCAGTGATCATTGTGCCTGGTGGAACTCCTGTCTCCAGCCACGCAGCCCCTTGGATAGCTGCTCCCCATCACAGTGGTCCTGCTCCTGGCACAGCTTGGAGAGCTCAGTGGTTCTGGATGCTTCTCTAGAGTTTCTGCAGGGTCCTAGGAAGGATCACTTGCCCTCTGAGGAGTGGTTTTTGAAGGAAGCAGCGTATCTCCAAGGTAGATGCTAGGATTCCCCTCCTAGCACCTCTCTAAACAGGAGCCTGCTCAGAGGACAGCCAGAGTGCTTTCTTCTCCACTGGGTCCTGTCTGGAGCCTTCATCTGCATCTCGTGAAGCCACCTGCTCAGGTTTCGGGAGTAGATTCTCTCCAGTCTTCAAGCAGAGAGCGTCTGTTTGCTCAGTTCACTGTGGTTTGTCCGATCTCCAACTACCTGGATCCTGTTGCCCATCAGAATAGTGGACAACTCAGCTACAGAAGGCTAGGACATCTGCTGTGAGGAAGGCTTCCTGAGGGCCTAGGAATCAGGCATTGAGCTTTCAAAGATAGAGATTGGATTTGTGTGGAGGCATCTGCTGCTACTGTTTTTGAAAGACTCTGGTACCAATGCTGGGGTTTTGTGGAGGCAGGTGAGAGGGTTCCTCTTGTGTGTCTCAAGTGCTGTTATGAGATGTTCCCAGAGTGCTGGCCCTCCTAGGGGGGAAACACCATGTTTCTGGGGTGCTGATGGGAAAGTTCTAAGGGGATCCTCCTTGGTACCCGAGGCATTCTTCAGGACTGCCCACTCTCCTGGAATGACACAGGGGTTAATAGCTCTGAGGGCTCTGTTTTGGGGCAAATGGAGTGTTCCCAGAATAGGACTCTTTGTTGAGCAGTCTATTTTGGGAGACAAGCCCCACTGGCGTTTATGTAAGCGATTCTCTGTGTGTATGTGGGGGTGTGGATGTGTGCACAAGGGATTTCTTGTTACTAATTATAAACAGCTTCTTTGGGGAGCCAGGGAAACAGAGGGGGCTATGTGGTGTTAATGGTCCTTGTTGTGGAAGCCAGTGTGGTTGTATGTGCCCATTCGACTGGACACTCACCGCAGACACTAGAGTAAGGAGTGTGGGGGCCTGCGGGCAGCAGGATGAAATGACTGTCTCGGCCCTTTTGGGGGCTGTCTGGTCTGTGAAATTATGTCCATCAGTGATCCTCTTGATTTCTTGCCGTATGTGGGCAGGCAGGAGCCAGATGGTCTTCAGAAGCTCAAATCTAGGTTTTTCTAGGGCCCAGTAACCAGTTCAAAACTGGAACACCTCTCAGACTTCTTCCCCCTTCTGAAGCTTGGCATTTACTCCCTGGACTTTCTTATGTCTCCACACAGGCCAAATCCACATATGTCGAAGCAAGAGAGAAACCAAAGACCGTCCAGCATGGTCAGTGAAACGTCCACAGCTGGGACCTCTTCCACTTTAGAGGCCAGGCCTGGACCCAAGGTGAACGAACTTCTGGCTACTCATTGTTTCCTCCCCTGCTGTTTATATATGTGACCAGAAACATATTTGGTCATCACATTAGTTAAGTGCAGGAGACACCATATGAAATATTCTCCGCAAGTGACACATCAGTCAGTTGAGGCTGACAGGGGTCATGTCACTTGTTCAAGCAAACAAGTGATGGTTGTCCAAGCCAGGACTGCCAAGTAGGTGTCTTGACACAGTCTTTATTTTCCTGACATCTGCTGGGAAGGCCACATCTTTGTTTAATGTGCATGTGTTAGAGACAGCCTGGTGGGATCTGGAGACAAAGGGACCCAAGGAATGGTGCCCTTGAGAAGGGGTCAGAGGTTTCTGTGTCCAGGGTGTGGGACCACAGACCTAGGAACAGAGAAAAGAGAGAGCCACATTGTAGAGGAGGAGAGAGTGCTGAAAAGGGAAGGCTGAAGCTAGCTAGGAGGAGCTATCTGGGGAAATTTGTGACCAAAAAGTAGATTTGCCTCCCAAACTACAAAGGAAATACTAGAGCCCAGAGCAACTGGTGAAAGTTGACTGAAGCATCCCTTTCATTTTCACCTCTGTGCCCCAGATGGAAAGCTTGCTAGGTCTTGATCCCGAATGTTAATTAGAATGTTGCCACCCTGTCTGTTCGCTCCCTGTCTTGCTGATGTTCTTCCGATCAAAGGGTACTCCTGCTTGGAGTGAGGCAGAGAGGCCACTGCCATTCTAACATAGAAGTGCTGCTTTTTCTGTGTTTCCCCAAATCTCCCCTGCTGCTTGAGTTCAAGCACTGTGTTTTTTCTAGATTATAAAGTCCAGCAATAAAGTCCACAGCTTTGGGAAGAGGGACCAGGCCATTCGGAGGAACCCCAATGTTCCAGTGGTGGTAAGGGGCTGGCTGCACAAACAGGTGAGCAGATTGAGGAGTGAGGCTGGTGGGTGGTGGGGAGGCTGCTCTTGCCCATTTCTCTCCTTACCTGACCCCAGGGGGTTGGGAACCATCACATAACTTTGTTCCTGAGTTTGTTTGAGGCAGGTAGATTCCGCTCTCTATGTTGAGCAGTTTTCTTTTCAATTTTCTGAGCGGTCTTTGCTCAGCAGCTTCAGCTTCCCCCACAAAAAATCCACTTGACCACCTTGCCCTCCATTGCTGTGGCTGCCCTGGGACCCACACAATCTTGTGCAGGTCAGCATGAATCCAGTCTGCCTGCACTTGTCTTGCTGATGGTAAGAGCCTTTGTTACCATTTAGCTGAAAATGTCCTTTCCTCTCTCCCTCTGTTGCCTCCACATACCTCTAACTCTCCAGCACCTCCGATTCCAAATCAGCCAGACTCAGCTCATTGTCTCCTCACTCCTTACCTCTCTTCCCCTCGACCTGCTCTGTCTGTATCTTGGTGAATGGTAACACTCTTCTCCCACTCAGTTTAGAAACCTCAGCACTGTTGCCAGCTCCTTCATCTCACAGCCATTCAGTCAGTGAGGCCTGTCAGCTCTGTCCCTGATGCCATTGTTCTTTTCTATCCTAACTGCCTTTGAGCTCTCTGGTCTTCTGGTGGTGACTCGCCCGGAGCTCCCAGCACCAGAGACTATGGCTTTTTCATCTCCTTCCTTCCCTACTTGCTGGTGACTCGCTTGCTCACTCGCTCACTCCCTCACTAGCTCACTCCCTCACTAGCTCACTCCCTCACTTGATCACTCACTCCCTCATTCACTCACTCACTCACTCTCTTGCTCACTCCCTCACTCACTCACTTATCAAGTACCTGCCATGTTCCAAGTGTATACACTACAGGCATAAAGAGATGAATAAAATGTAATCCATGTTCTCAAGGAACTCATAGACTAGTGGAAACAGATAAGCATGCTTCTTAAATCTCCTGTCACCCAGCCAGTCTCCCCATATCATATCATGTCATCTATAAGAAAACAGGGCTTTAAACTGCTTCAGCCCCCTCCCCCCTTGAGAATTTTTATGTCTACCCCATATAGACATTTTAGCAAGATCCCCAGGCGATTCTAAGGTTCTCTCTTGGTTCCCTCATTACCCATCTCTTTTCTGACATCTAGTCATTCAACCCTGGGACTTCCTGCATTTGCATCCCCACTGTAGTTAAGCAAAGGGTTGTTGTTGTTATTGTTGTTGTTATGTGCCTTGGAGTCGGTTCCGACTCATAGCAACCCTGTACAGGGTTTCCGAGGCTATAAATCTTTACGGGAGCAGAAAGCCTCATCTTTCTCCCATGGAGCAGCTAGTAGTTTCGAACTGCTGACCTTTAGGTTCACAGCCCAATTCGTAACCACTATACTACCGGAGTACTCCTTTGTAAATACTTATTAATTCCCTCCGCTCCCCCCAAAAAAATTTCTAGCCTCTAGACTAAGACTGGCCTTCTGTGAGCATCCACAGGGATTAGAGCAGAGTCCTGGTGTGGTGCTGTGGGGTAATGTGCTGGACTGCGTAGTCAGTTTGAATTGCAAGATCAGCAGTTCAAGTTCACCAGTCCCTCCTAGGAAACCCCATACAGGGTTGTTATGGGTTGGAACTGACTCAACGGCACAAAATGAAAGAAAAGAAAGACTAAGGATAGGACATTGTGGGTTGGGCATTGGACTGCTAACCACAGTGGTTTGAACTACCAACCACTTTGCAAGAGAAAGATGAGGTTGCCTGCTCCCGTAAAGACTCATGGTCTCAGAAACTCTGTAGGCTTGATATGTTGTTGTTGTTGTTCTTAAGTGCCTTCAAGTCGATTCCGGCCCTTAGGGACCCTGTTTAGGGTTTCCAAGGAGTAGCTGGTGAGCTTGAACTGCCCACCTTGCAGTTCAAACAGCTTTGCAGTCTGGTGCATTAACCCACAGTGCCACACCAGCATTGATATGAGTCAATATCAATTCTATGGCAGTGGGTAGATAGATAGATTTTGTAACTGTAACATAGGTCTGTGTTGAGTGCTAGGGACAAACAGCAGAGAATTTAGCTGTGCTTGGGCGAGTCCAGAAAGGCTTCCCAGAGAAAGTGACATGTGAACCAGCTATGAAAGAATTTTTCAAGCAAAGGAAAACATGCACCAATACCTTAGAGACTATCTGGTCACTTCACAGAAGATAAACCGATAAATGCTTAAATTCACCAAGTTAAAGTTGTTTTCAGCTATTTATAAGTGGAACATGAACAGGCCTCATGTTGTTTTTAGGTTTAGAAACTGTTATGTGGGGTTTGTTTTTGTTTTCGATTTAAATCTGTCAAAAATTTCTTCAGAAAGGATGACAACATATTTTTATCACAATTTCTAAAGCTAAGAGCTGCTCTGAGATTCTCCTAGCTTTGGGAGAAATCTGACTTTAAAACATTTCTTTTTTCCTACTGTGGCTATGTTTGTTTTGTTTTTCCCTTTTTGGAATGATGTAAAAATATTTTTAATAAATGTAAAGATTTCCATTTCAGATGAGTAAAGATCGATTCCTGTTATGAGGCAGTTTGGTAGCAGGAGAATGCAAATTTTTCCACATTGAATGGGAGGAAAATACCATGACTAAACCAGACCCTTACGGTAGAGAACTGAATTTAGTCAAATGAGAACTTCACCTCAGTTGACTGCTGTCTAACTTAGACACTTTCTTTGATACCATGCCAATTCAATTTTCTAGTCAGTATAAGTGAAGATAGTTTATAGCTCAGTACCTAACTTTAAATTTAGAAAAACAAAATTCAAGGAACAGCTATGTTCAATAGACTATTCATTCATTTATTTGTAAGAAAGAGTGAATCTGGTTAAGACTTGATTGTGGAATCAAGTTGTATGTGATGAAAGAGGTGGAAGTGTACCCAGATGTTGCCCTGACTAGTTTTTCATTGCTTTGCAGGACAGCTCTGGGATGAGGCTGTGGAAAAGGAGATGGTTTGTGCTTGCTGATTACTGCTTGTTTTACTATAAAGGTGAGCAGAAGCTTGGACTTGCAAGGACTCTTTGTGCTAGAGAAGGTGGTGAGATGATTTCAAAAGATGGTCTTCTCAAAGTCAGTGATTGTTACAGTGGCCTGAACTAATTGGCAATCTTTTGTCCTGTCAGAGGGTTCACGTTTCATATCATGTGGATGGTTGGTAACTTCAGTTTTACCACTTCTGTCCAACCAGGCCCCTCGGTTGGACAAAATAAGTAGAATCTGGTTTATCTGCTACATAGGGTCTCAAGGTCCAGAGTTATCCTGGCTTCTGCTCCAGTTGTGCTCAGCAATACTTTTGAGACTCTCTGGAGAGGTGGGAATTATGAGTAAATCACTGTATTTTGTAAACTATCATTTGGATTTGTCCCCTGTGATACTGAATGTGAAACTGCTAAATTAAATAGGCCATGTGAACATTTGTGGAGACCCCAGGACTTAAAATTTGGCTATTCAGTGGTGAGAAGGCTCAAAATATGAAGGGATAGTTTACTTTTAATACAAGACTAGACTGTGGTAGGTACTTTTTAAAAAAGATAGTCAAAGTGCTTAGGCAGTTCAGGGGAATGAGAGTTAATTCCATTTTTAGGAATCTGGGGGGCTTCTTCGAGGAGATGGTATCTGAATTGGGCTTTGAAGGAAGGGCAGGGCTTTTGCCTGTGTCAGGGAAAATGAGCATTATAAGCAGGGGAAAGAACTTGAACAAAGTTCTAGTAAAGGAAGGGCATTTCATAATAGCCACAGTGAGTCTCACATGGAGCATGAATTAGGTGATAAGGCTCAGGAGATGGGTAAGGACCAAAATACAACAAGGCAGTGGATGTCAGATCTCCTGGATCCAGTGGGGAATCAGCAAGTGCTTTGAGTAGGAGAGCAACAAGGCCAACTCTGTCTTTCAGAAGTTGCCTCTGGTAATGAAAGTGGTTCATAGGAAGGAGGGACTTTTCATGCATACTCTGACTTTGCTTATGAAGTTTGCTCCATCTGCAATGCCCTTACCCATCCTTTAAAACACTACATATGCATAACCCATGGATCTTTCTCCGTTCCCCCAGGAGTGTTGCCACTCCTGCCTCTGTGTCCTGGCAGCACTTGGTACATTGCTTTTGTTACGGTTGAGCAATTGAGCAGGTTGAGTTGTGTGTCTGTCTTGGGGAGAGGGCCATGTGATTCATCTCTGTAGTTCTAGTATTAGGACAAAGGTGCCAGGGAACATCTGAATGAGTGATCAGTAGAGAGACAAGGAACCCTGAACTAGGGCAGTGGGATGGACCAGCCCAGGAAAGTGCCACTGAAAGTTGTTCTGATGTGTTTTTCCATTCAAAGACAGCAGAGAAGAAGTCGTCCTCGGGAGCATCCCTCTGCCCAGCTATGTGGTCTCGCCTGTGGCCCCTGAGGATCGCATAAGTCGCAAGTATTCCTTTAAGGTACTACCCCTTCTCCTCTAGAACAGTTCTATCCTAAGAAACTTTGTGTTATCGAAAATGGTGTCTCCCTTATCTAATGTTTCTGCAACAGAAATGCCACAAGCAGATGGCTTTAACAACCAAAAATTTATTCCCTCACAGTTTAGGAGGCTAGGAGTCCAGATTCAGAGTGTCAGCTCTAGGGAGGGAAGGCTTTCTCCTGTTGGACTCTGGAAAAAGGCCCGACTTGTCGCCTTTCAGCATCTGTAGACCCAGATCTCCATGTGTCTTGGGGTGTGGTTGTTTCACAGTGCAGGGACCCCAGGTCCAAAGGAAGGACTCCACTCCTGGCTCTTCCTTTGTGGTGGTAGCAAGTCCCTCTTTCTCTGCTCACTTTTCTTTCCTTTTATATCTCAAAAGAGATGAACTCAAGATACAGCCTAATCCTGTAGATTGTACCCAACCCCAGTAGCATCGTAAAAGTGATGATTTGCAACACAGGGTAATTACGTCAGATCAAAGCTGATTACATCATATTAGATCTCATCATGGAGATGATAAGTACATCTTCACTGGTAAACCACTGAGAATCCTGGCCCAACCAAGTTGACACAAAACCTTAACTACCACAAGTGGCTTTATAAAAGCAGTTTTTGTGGGGTATGGGAAAAGGTAAGATGCCAGGACATTCCAGACGTGTATTGCCAAGTAGCTCTGGTAGCGTAGTGGTTACGAATCGGCTCTGGTAGTGTAGTGGTTACGAATCGGGCTGCGAACCTTAAGGTCAGCGGTTCGAAACTACCAGTCACTCCGCGGGAGAAAGATGAGGCTTTCTACTCCTGTAAAGATTTACACCCTCGGAAACCCTGTACAGGGTCGCTATGGGTCGGACCCGACTCGATGGCACTTAACAACAACAACAACAATTGCCAATGTTATAATTATTTAAGCAATAATAATATCACAAGTACTTTTGTTTGTATGTGAGATTTTGAATTCTCCAGCCTTGCTCAAATATTTAGATTTCTCTTTTCATAGTGGGTTTTGTGTAGGGCTGCTCACTGCTAGGTCAGCAGTTTGAACCCATGAGCTGCTCCACAGAAACCAGATGAGACTTTCTGCTTCCCTAAGGATGGAGTAGCCTCAGAAACTGTAGGAAGCAGGTCTACCCTGCCCTATAGGGATGCTATGAGTCAGAACGACTTGAAGGCAGTGGGTTTGGTTTTGGGTTTTCTGTTTTCTGCTTGTCTTGTGATTATATATCGAAACAACCTTCTTGTGCTTTCTTACCACTGTAATCAGCCATTCTAACCTTGTTCCTGCCTCTGAAGTCAAATCCTCTGTGTATCCAGAGCTGAATTCACCAAGAGTGTTGCTAACTCATTCAGGGCAAATGATGTTCTATCATAATTGAATTATCTGAGTTATGTACTGAATAAGATGTACACTGAGAGTTGGGGGCTTCATGTTGACCAGGTTGTCAGGTTTGACAACTTTGTTTTTCTTGTTGAAAGCAATTAGAATCAACTTTGGTTTATTTTTTCTGTCATTTAAGATTCCCAGAGAAATCCCTTCACCAATGAAGCCCCTTTCTACTTGGTTACTGTGCCATTTGGGATGAGTGGGTAGTCTTATGATCCCTTGGAGACCTGGGAGATTATGTGCACAGGCCTCAGGAAGGTGATAGTTGGGACCAAACTTGGTGCCACCTCTACTGATGGCCCTCCGGAGATTGCTTCACTGCTAGTACTGTGGGAATCTCCCAGGGGTGTTGAGAATAGAGTGGATTGAAGCTCCACTTTATTGACAGTTGGAATGGAAGTCCTAGAGAGCATTTGATGGTAGTTGCCGTAGGGAAGTTTCCTCTCAAACTGCCCAGGGCCTGGCGTTCATTTCAGGGGGTGGTAAGGGACTTCTATCCCTACTTTTCTGGTTGCTTTTGGCTAGTTCTATAGTAGGAGCCCTGGTGTGGCACTGTATGGATCTCAAAGTTGGTTTGAACTGCAAGCTTGATGGTTCAAACTCACCGACCACTTCTCAGAAACCCTATACAGGGTCGCTATGAGTTGAAACCAACTCAGTGGCATTTAACAACAATGTTGAGGGTCCAAGATGAATTCTATGCTGCAGGCACTAAAGCACAGATGAACAGAATCTAGTTAAAGGGCCATGGAAATGCACAGGATTAGAAACTACCTTTCTGTGCGGTGGTAGTAGGAGATTCCTGTAGCATCCTTGGTGCTGGCTATTGGTCCTCGGATTGTCTGCATCAGCATCATGGTCTGGAGTCTGTGGTGGAAAGTCGGGATCCTCTTCCTTCCGAAGGGAGCTGGGGACTCAACTGATACTTCAGTGTTGTTCATGCCCAAATGGGAGTCATTCTTTCCCCTCCCCTCCAACACCACTCCCCCCAGTGCCTGCAGAGTTGCTGTGGGTTGGAGATTCTGGGACCTTCCCTGACTTACTGCTGCATAGTGAAGTGTTAATCTTACATCTGTAAAACTGTTTATGACTTCGGAAGTACTTTTATACATGTTACCTCGTTTAATCCTAGTGGGGAGCCCGTACAGCCATATTATTAACTTCATTTTATAGATTAGGAGCCCGCAGATCAGAAAGCTTGAGAAATTTGCCCAAGGTCACAAAGCTGGAAGATGTGACAAGGATTGACTGTGAATTTTGCCCTCTTTCAGTTGCAGTACAGGAAGGAGTGGCAATGCCTTGCTCGCTCTCTTTTTTCTCTTTTTCTTTCACGTCTTTTTTTTTGGTCACCTCCTGCACACACACACACACACACTGCAAGAGGTAGGAGGTGATTTGAATTAATCCTTATTGCTACTCTTTGAATAACTCCCTCACATTTAATAGCTCAGGAGCCTCCCCTGCCATTTCTGGCTCTGAAAACATTCTAATTGGTTTCAGACTGATCTTTTACAGCCAGAAAATCTTCCTTAGAAAATTCTCCTTTCTAGGATTGAGCATAATGATGTTGTATGTGATTTTTGGGGGTGGGTGGGTAGCATTTGGGATATCCTCAAAGTAACTTATCACAGATATGTATAGATCATCTTAGCACTTCATTGGGAGGTGTGAAAAGAGATTCTAGGAAAACATTTTTTTTTTTTTAAATAGGTCTTAGATTTTAAAAAGTTTTTCTTTGTTTAGTTTTTCATAGAAAGAATTCACCAAGAGAGTTGCCTATATATTTGGTCTGGGAGACAGAAAGCATGCATCTGTTTAGGGGTCTTGGGGACCTTCAGGCTCTGAGATCAGAGGAAAGCAAGTGCTGACAGCTTTGGTGGTGCACAGCGGGTCCTCCCAAGGGATGGCTTCCTGAGTGAGGAAGAATGACTGACCTTTCCCTTCCAATGGCAGCATCAGTCTTTTAAGAGCTAGAGAGTGTGTGTGTGTGTGGGGAGGGGGGGAGGTGGGCAGTTCTACTGAGAAACATGTAGTGTTTTGTGTCCTGAGCCTTGTTCCCGCCTCTGAAGTCAAATCCTCTATGTATCCAGAGCTGAATTCTCCCACTGTTGCTGGGGCACCTTACCTGAAATTATCCAGAGTAAAGTCCATAGTAGTAGGTAGGCACAGCCTGAGAAAGTTGTTGTCTTTATCATTCTTTTCCAAGTATGCCCACAGCCTGGCAAACCCCAGGCATTGCCAGGAAACCTAGGTGCTGAATGGGCCCAGAGGCACAGCCAGGTCTGCATGATGAGCTTCACTGGTCTCTTGGTAGCTTCTAGAAGCCATCCTGGCCTGGCCTGGCCAAGCTAGCTCACCTTGGAGGCCTCCCCACAGAGCCCATACCAGATGCACAGCCTCCCTTGTCCTTCAGTCTCCTCTGACAAGCCTCACCTCCTCCTTGTTCCTGGGGACCCTAGATCTACATTAGGAAACACCCCACATAGTCAGTAATCTAAGGATCTTTAATGAAGGGGGAGCCACTCTCCCTCTCTTTAGACCAAGTGTTCGTAACCTGGGGTCTGCAACCCTGCAAAATGTCTTTATTTTAACCTCTAAGTTCAAGTAACACTTCCTTCCATTAAGAATACAGCAACACCAGGGATCAGCAGTACCTGTGTGACACTCACCAATAAAAACCAACGGCATTTTCTCACTTTACAGTTGTTGGTCCTCAGCTGTTGCAAATACCCTGGAATAGGCTCATCACCACTTTGAAATTATGGTAGTTATTGCACCTGCCTCTAGATTTGTTATTAAACAAGTACCTGTATGAAGGGGCTTCAGAAAGTTCATGGAAAAATGGAATGAAAAGTTAGTGGAATTTCTTCACGAACTTTTGGGAACCCATTGTCTACTGGAGTATGCATTTGCTTGGGGTTTATTAGAGGATTAGAAAAGAACAGGAAAAAGCTACTATTTTCCTCTCTCCCATATTGTGAGTAACCTTGAACCCTCTCAGTTTTGTCCTTCGTTACCTCTCAAATCCATCTGTCTGTCCGTTGCTGATGCCACTATTCTCTCTGCCACCCTCGTCCATTTTCTGGGTAACAGTGCTAGAGCCATGCTGTTCTTCCCCTGCTACACTGAGTACATGCAGCCCCCTGCCTGCTCTGCATCGTCCAATCCATCCTCCATAATGCTTGTACATGGCAAATCTGTTCAGGTGTTACTCCCTTTTGCCTTCAGGATACAGCCCAGTCTTGGTTTACAAGGCCCCAGATTGTCTCTCCAGCCACATTTCTAGATATTCCTGTGTCATACCTTCCCTCTGGCCACACACAATTATCTGGAGGCCCCAGGACATCTCTTACTGATGGCCTTTTGGGAACTTTTGCCAGAGCTTGAGCCACAGCCTGGACTGTCCTTTGCCCAACTCTTCCTTTTCCTCCGAGGTACTGCTCGGGAGTCATTCCTTCAAGGAGCTTTCCCTGAGCCTCCCTGGATAGGTTAGGAACCTTCCTGTGTATATTCATAGGACCTGCCTCATGGCATCATAAATGGGAAAGCTGGCTTCTGTCTGGGTGTTGTTTTTAAGTGCCTGAGTTGGTTTTGACACA